GATCCACTAGACGGTGCAATGATCTGGCGATTCATAAGGAGCGAAAAAGATCCAGTTGAGCCTGAAAAGGACCTTATATTTATTAAAAAGGTTTCAGCTCGTAGTGATTTCTTCTATACGAAGAAAACACGAATGGATGATTAGTAGCATTCATTATTATAAGCACTTGTAGCGGTAAACGTTTTACCAAACATTTGTTTATTTGTGCTTTTGTTTCGCGCAGTGATATTTGTAAGATCCGCTTTTGAAGGTTTTGTTTGTGATTTGTTCTTATTGATTCCTTCAGTTGTACATTTGGTTAGTCTGTTCGATTCCATTTGAGATGATAATATTTACATATTATTATAGTTTCTATTTTTTGGCCTTCACTGAGTTTCTATGTTTCTTTCCGAACTGCATTTATGCTGTTTAAGCTGATACTTAGTCATGGCAACACCCATATTGATTTGTTCCTCTTTTGATTGTGTCGCTTGCCTTGACTGGAATTGTGGATTTTGATTGTGAATTGAAGCACCCTTCCAGAATAGGAAACACTCTGTTATAAAGCGATCAAATATTATCTTTTGAAGGAATCTGATCTATCCAGAATGGATAGAATAACATTTATTTGTTGCTGTCGATTTGATTATCTGAACAATTGTTGGTGGAATGACTGAGTGGTAATATTTGTTCAGGTAATGATGTATACTTATATTTATGATGAATAATAGAACCATCGTTTACCGAAATCACTTGTTTTGGTTTCAACTGGTCAAAGTGAGTGTCTAAACTACCTAGACAGTTATTCTTCAGTCCAAACCTCAGCTTAGATTGCACGACTTTTAATAAATATACTGAAATTACACCGTCTTCATGCTCTTCTCCTCTTTCCGCTCACCATTTTGTTTTCATTGCTCTGTACTTTCGCCCAATTATCTGGCACGTTTCGGTATTCTTTCGATACATTGAAATCACCGAAAAATACGCCTGTTTCATTTAGACCAACGGTCTACATTTTCGCATAAAAGACTTGGGAAAACATTCAGGACGCGAACCCGGCTGATTTATGTACGTTCACAGTCCTTCGACTTGAACATCTACTAAGTAACCTTGTCGAAATGTCACTTTGTGAAAATTCTAACCAGAGTGACACAAACAACTTACGAAGTACACTCTCTAATGGCTCCTCAGGTCATGATCTTGGTCTAATAATCACTGAACGAATGTACATCAGTTTGGAGAAGCAAGTCCAACGAAACTGCATTTTATGTGAAAGCGACTTGATGCAGTCACCCCAGAACTATTCTCAACGTTGTTTAAGACAGCTTGAGATTCACTACGTCATAGCATCACATAAATCTAGTGTCCAAAAACCCAACCCTGAACCAAACGTACAAATTAGAATCACATGACAGAAATTCAGAAGCAGCTATGAACTGACTAGAATTGGTGCAGTCGAATGGCTGAAAAAGCATCCATAGGACACTACTAAATCAGTCAGTCAGTCAGTCAGTCAGTTGCAACGTAGAACTTCGTGCGTAAGTACATCAGTTCATGTGGCCATACCACATCAGCACAGAGATGTAATTGTCAATTCAAATCCAATAGTAGAAGAGGTAGTAAAGGTATTAGAAGTAATCGGAGAGGTCAGAATTAGAAGATATTATTCACGAAGTATGATTCAGTGAGATAAGTTTAGAAAGTAAAAACTAGAGGTGTTGAAGAATCCAGAAGATTAGGATTTGAGAGAACACAAAGAATAAATGCACTGGCGCCATTGCGAACGATTTTGAGCTATGTCATTCAACGTCTCTAGCCATCGATTATTATTATCTCGCGGACCCCAACCAAGTAGTCGACAGTTACCGACATGGCTAAGTCCACTTGTCAATGACTTCATGGATTTCTGCCATGTTTTGGTCTGGCCGCTCCTACCTTTCTTCCAACCTATTCCTACACTACAAAACAAAGCTCGACGAGGCAGTCGGTGGTTAGGCATACGAAACACGTGTCCCAACCACCTCAACTGATGAAGTTTCACCACTTCATCGATTGTTCTGCCATTCTTACCTAGTACCCGTTTCCTAATAACAGCGTTGCTCACTCGGGTGTCCCACGATATACGAGCAATGATACGAAGACACCTATGATCGAAAACCAATAACCGACGAGTATCTTCTACTCTCATTGGCCATGTTTCACAGCCATAAAGTAAGACGGAGCGAACCACTGCGCAGTACACTCGTCCTTTAGTCAGCAAACGGATATCTCTCCTACGCCATAAGTGACGCAGGTTGGCAAAAGCCAATCGAGCCTTCTGTATCCGTGCTGAGATTTCGTCAGTCACCAGGCCATCAGCACTGATGAGACTGCCGAGATAAGTGAAGCGGTCTACACGTTCGACTACTTCACGCCCTATCACTAGTTCAGGTGCCTAGGCAACACAGTCTTGAAGCAACATTTTGCATTTCGAGGGGGAAAACCGCATCCCGAACATGCTTGCATTGTTGCTTAGGGTAGTCAGAAGACTCTGCATTATTTCAGCATCTTCACCAAGTAGGACATTGTCATCGGCATATTCTAAGTCGATAAGCGAGCCTCCTGGTAGAAGGTCTACTCCAGAAAATTCAGACGAGGATAATGTTATATCTAGGAGCATGTCTATGATAAAATTAAACAAGAATGGAGAAAGTGGACATCCCTGACGGACACCATTTGCAGTAAAGAATTCAGATGACAGTTCGCCATAAGCTCTCACTCGACCAGTGGTGTTCGAGTAGAGAGCTTGTATGAGGTTAATGTACTTATTTGGTACACCTTTCAATGACAGACTGCCACAGAACCTCACGATCCACTGAGTCAAATGCCGCCTTAAGGTCTAGGAAAACAACTATTGTAGGACGCCTAAATGTGTGTCTGTGTTCCAGGACCTGTCGTAGTGTGAAAATGTGGTCTATACAGCCACGTCCAGGTCGAAAACCAGATCGGTTTTCTCGAGTTTGCTCTTCACGAGCTTTCGTCAAGCGTCAAAGTATTACTGAGGCCAATATTTTAGATACTATATTAGTTAGACTTATTTCCCTGTGATTGTCACAAGAAGACTTTTGTCCTTTCTTATAGATTGGGACAATCAAGGATTGAGACCAGTCGGATGGGATTGCGTCCAGTTCCCAGATCCTACCTAAGATCTCAGTCAACCTAGCTGCTAAAACTGGACCACCATCCTTAAATATCTCAGGGGTTAGTCTATCAGGACCTGCAGCTCGTCCTAGTTTCAGATTTCCTAACGCTTTCTCAACGTCATTAAGACTAGGGGGACTTACGTCGATTTGCCATTCAGGATGACTGGAGATCGTGGGTAACCGAAGAGTGACTCGTGGCCAGTTGAACTGATCCCTAAAGTGTTCTGCCCATCTATCCAGTGTCCTGGATTGAGAATAAATAATAGTCCCATCATTTTCTCAAATAGTCTCACTTACACTAGGATTCCTAATACCAGTTTCCTTGATAAGTCGGAAAAGTTGTCTACTGTTGCCGATCGCCGCTGCCTTTTCCATCGCTTTTGCTTTCGCCACCCACCACTGTTCGCGGTCGTTACGCAGACTTTATATAAGTCTGCGCCTAAGTTGACTTCGTTCTTCATCATGTTCAGAGTCAGGTGGGATGAGTTTTCGGGCATCCATCAGATCGGTGGATGCTACTGAGATCCACGGTTTCATTCTAGCCTTATGGTCAACCTTACTAGCAGATATCACTGCTGTTTCCACAGCCTTTTTGATATCATTCCATCCTGCTTCTGGATGGGAATCGCTTAAATGGTCGCCTAACTGTCTTTCTAGTTGTTCCTGAAATATATTTTTCGCCTTATTATCATTAAGTCAAACCCTAAGAGGCTTCCTCACGGTGTCTTTCCAACGCCCAGTAAGCTTCAAACAAATACGCGCTAGCACTAGGGCATGATCTGAATCTAGACATGTGCTCCAGAACGAGCGACAGTCCTCTATCGAACCCCTCCATCGGTGGCTGATAGCGATGTGATCTAGTTGAGTCCAACGTTGAGACGACTTCGGGGGTCGCCAGGTCAACAGATGCTTTTCCTTATGCCTAAAGTTAGTGTTTGTTAAGAATAGGCGGTTGTCTGAGCATGCTTGCAACAGACGGTCGCCATTGTCTGTTCTCTCAGTCGCTACACCATAACATCCACCTAGATGTCTTTCCTTTTCACCTAGTCTACCTACTTGAGCATTAAAGTCACCAGCCATTAATACTATATCAGAGCGCCTAGCTTTTTGGAGGAGGTCCGAAAGCTTTCTGTAAAATTCATCCTTAACCTCGACTGAACTGCAGTCAGTGGGGGCATAGGCAGATACGATGAAGAGGCAACGTCGATTGTCCCTATCTTTCTGAGTCCTTACTGTCCCGTTTAGTCGGACAGCGCACAAACGACTATCTATTGGGATCCAGTCAAGGAGAGATAATTCTGCCCTACAACTCAATGCTATGCCTACGCCAGCAAGACCCCTGGAAGCAGCATCAGGGCTACCGGATACACGAAGAGTAAATCGAGCTGCTTCTTCATTTTGACAAGGTGGAATCAGGTTTATTACTTTACAAGAATCCTGTATGCGCGTTTCCGAGACGCAGCATACATCGATGGCACGAGATTCTAAAGTCCTAGCTAATGATGCCTGTTGCCCTATTTGACACAATGTCCGTACATTAAATGCTCCAACATGTAGTCTAGAGCGAGGTTTAAGGAGACCAGGAACGACGTTTCGCGAACTCGTATTGTCTGTATTAGCTGTGCACTGTGATGAATGAATGTGAGAAGAGTTAGTCGTGGAGATAAGAGAGGTACTAGGGGGTGTAAGAAGGATTTGATTTTGACCAATTTGGTCTCGCGTGCTGTTATGGGTATGAGGGCGGTTGTCACTTCCCGGCTGCCCACACTACTAAATATCTGGAACGTACAAAAAGAACGAAAATCGAGCACAAAGAAAGCAATCGATTTTTTTTAGTCCATGAAAAAGACATTGGATATTGTATATTGTCTCCTCAGAGCGCGATCTTGGTTTAATAACCACAGAAAGCCTCCACACGAGTCCGAACTATGTAGGGGATGCAGCCAAGGCAAATGCGACTCTTCACTTTATGCGAAGACAGCTTGGTGCTATAACCCCGAAATTATTTTTAACCCTCTATAAGACGTACGCGCGCCCACACTTGGAGGTTCACAACGTCATCGCACCCCCTCTGCTTAAAAGAGACATTAATCTCTTGGATCGAGTGCAGAGACGAGCAACGAAATGGGTGAAAGGGTTGAAAAATAAACCCTACGAAGATAGACTCCAGCTCTTGGGATTATTCCTACTGAGCTACAAGTGAATCAAAGGTGATCTGATTATGGCGTACACTGTAAATGGATTTCTACCGTGGCAGTTCAAATGGTTTCCGATAAGTGCAATTTGTACGCGTATCTCCCAGTCCAAGGTCCAAAAAATACAACAATTCTAGGAGAAAACGGTCTGTATTATATTAAAAGATGGAAATACAAAGCAATACCTGGAATTGATGCACCTTCCAGGTTACAATTACTCCGAAGAGTATCCGAAACAAAGATAAATAAGTGACGTTAAGTCCAACAGCTACTGTATCAATCCAAATATGGCTGTAGCCATATTAAAGATCAAATTTAAACAACATATATGCAGTTCAGAAGCAAACACAAAAACTTCAATGTAAGTACAAAATATAGAAAGAATAACAATATACAATGATAAATTCTCAAATTGGAATCAAATAAAATACCAAAAATGTCAACAGAAAGAGTCCGTCATGTCATAAACATGGAGGGATTTTCCAAAAAACAAAACAATCAAAAAGGATTCTACACCGGCCCGCAAAATCCCTCCATGCAAAAAAGCAAGCGTTAATGACACGTCAATTTAGGGTTCCCACTCATCCCCTAATCCACACCGGAAGAACGTGTAGGACTTACAGCAGTACGCCTACCCGCCCTCCAACATGGATATGACCTATGAAGCTAACTAGGTACCTATACCTTCCCATCAGGCCCTTGATTCCCCTATCTATCGTAGCATGACCTAACGGTAGTATGAACCTTACCCAATTAACCCACACGAACATGTACAACACGTCGTAAAACTGGTCATATCCTATCCGGGAACTACATTCCATATCATGGGGATGAGTCGTCCACCACCACTTGCTCCGATGAGCAGATACAATGAAGTCCGTGATGCTGACTTATCAACAGAAGTTCTTGACCCATAGATAATATGCAAGGGTTGGATCTCCAATTTTGACATTTCTTCGTCTCCAGAAGACTTTAAGTAGCATAACATGGGATCAATATTTATCTCTCCATCTCCTGATACCGAGGAGGTTTGATCAGCATTCGTCATCGTCGGTAACTCATTTGTCACATCAGTGACATCCAGATTATTATCAACGTCATCATGATTCCATTGTGTCAGACAAGTTGCGTCATTTCGGTCTGCAATAGCATCCGTAGAGTGAAACTCTTCCATTGTTGTATAACTCATCTCTCTACATGAAAGAACAGCATTAGTGTCACAATCCAAAACCGATAAACTCACTTGTTGTTCTTCATGTTCCGTTTCAGAGACACAAGACGTATGCACATCAATAGCATCGTTATCATGCAACACTGTAGACTGACTGTTACCATCAGACGCTTCCTTCTCATCAATACTCGACTGACAGTCAACCGAAGTAGGAACACTTACAGTTACACAACCTTGTGTATCCTCAATCAACTTAAGATTCGCGACAAGGTGAAGAGTCGCCTCTTCACTTTATGCGAAGACAGCTTGGTGCTATAACCCCGAAATTATTTTTAACCCTGTTTAAGACGTACGCGCGCCCACACTTGGAGGTTCACAACGTCATCGCACCCCCTCTGCTTAAAAGAGACATTAATCTCTTGGATCGAGTGCAGAGACGAGCAACGAATTGGGTGAAAGGGTTGAAAAATAAACCCTACGAAGATAGACTCCAGATCTTGGGATTATTCCTACTGAGCTACAGGAGAATCAGAGGTGACCTGATTATGCCGTACACCATATTAAACACGCCCAACCATCCCAATGTGAGCATCTTACCGATGCATCACCACCACTCCCCTCGAGGCAATCCTCGAAAGATTGCACATCAAAGAGCAAATACTCAGGTTCGTGGACTGCTTTAAGAAGAGACTTGATAATCACGTACTCACATACGGACTATCATCTCCCTCTTGGACAAGCTGTGCCTGATGCATATCTTGAGACCTGCTAGTTGTTACCATTGTCATCTCCTCAGATCACTTAATTAATCTGTCTCGCCCATTATCTCTGTTTCCTCTCCCTTGCTTACACTTCTGTCCTCTCTCACAATCTTCACTACCAACTGACAAACTAAACTCACCTATATATTACTCAGTTCTGAAATTTTACTCATATTATCATTTTAATTTATCCTTATTACCATTATTACTCTCCACATTGCAACTAACTGATCTCCGGTTTGGTAATGTGACGGCTGCTAGTATCCAGAAACCCTACTGCCCTGAAACAAACGTTTCATTCAAATCCCGAGACATACAAACTCATAACCAACTGCCAACTGACTAGAATTAGACAGTCGAGTGGCTAGACCTCCATCCATTGGACATTACCGAACACCTGGAACCGTACCTAAAGAACAAGAATCGAGCGCGAAGAAACCAAATTGGTTTACACTAGCTCGTGAAAAAGCTATTGGATATTGGAATCAAATTGGTTTACATTAGCTCGTGAAAAAGATATTGGATATTGGAAGGCCTTGAAGTAACCAGATCGTTTAAGCGGGATTACTTTGCAGTCGTAATGTAGGTGACAGTGTGTCTGCTTCTACCTTGCTGTTAGCTTTCATCGTTGTTAGCTCATAACTCGAGACTTTTTTCGTTTCAGTTTTACGAATATCGTCGGCTGGCATAACTGCAATCTCCCGAGTTAATACTAATAGTTGCGGTTCAATCATTAGGTGAATCGCACGTTTCGCGTTTATTTCCTCTTTGTCTCCTTAAAGTATATCTCCTTAATAATTTTTTAGGTCTCTTAATCGTCGTTGGTTGTCTCCTTTGAACAGATACATAACTTGAAATTCCACTATAAGATACGTACGTGACACTGGTAAACATCCAACTTATTACATCGTCGGAGACTCATTTCAGGATGAAATCACTCTGCTTCATGATGTCTGCGTTAGTGTGATACAGTTAATGAACTTATGTTATCTATGGTTACTGTCTATGCGCGTTTCAGTTTGGAAAGAACAAGAGGCCGGTTGGTCTACATTAGTCGCGACATTGGTTGTCTCCCAGTTGATCCAACTTTTATTGAGTACGTCAACAAATAGAGCTTCAATCACGTGTTGAGGCGGCAAGTTCCATTCGTTGCTGATTCAATGGGAAAGTCGATAGTCGGCTGAAAAGTCCTTTGTTCTGGGCTTGTGTCCTTATAAATTCTGTGCTTTGAAATAGGGCATGTCAGGTGCGAATTCATCATTAAGTGATTTGAAAACTGATTATTCCTCCTATAGTCCTCCTATAAGATAACGTAAATTTTTATAATTCAGCCAGTCTTTTGTCATACGACAGTTTTGCTATTTCAGGAACCAGCTTAGTTGCGGTCGTCTGAACATTTTCCAACAGTTTACTGCCTTTTTCTGATAAACTGCTGCTTCTATGCAATGCTCAGGTTTGAAAAACGAACACTGAATGCAAATGCAAAAATTTTTCAGCGTCCACATGTCTGGAGGCTCTGTGTATTGACCATAGGGTTCTAAAAAGTTTGGCAGCTGTCACACGGTATCGTGCAGAGGTTTCTATGTCTTGGCTATCTATAACTCGTGTTTGTCTGCACAACAGGTTTTTCATTGTTTCGTAGGCTACTTCGTAGGTAGCTTTTGAATTTTTTGAATATACAAGATTCTTGAAGGGTTACTACCGCTTTTCGAGACATCAATCGCTTTTCAAAAGGCCATGCTTTTTTCAGAAGGAATTTTTTCGTTGAAATGCTGAAAGTTGTCCCTCCGCATGATATTTCGAAAATGTAAACTAGGGCACTAGTTAGGCTTACTTCCAGGTTTGTTTTCCGTACTTGACTTGTCGTGGGATTTATTATAATGCTTTTCTAGTTTTCGATAATCTGACTTCGGTTATGGGCAGACTTAACATGTGCTTATGTTCGTAGTTTTCAAATTAAATAAATAAAAGTAAAAACCGTTGTACACATTTATTGTCTTCTTTTTTACTACTCCAAAAAGTAAGTTGATCATCCTAATAGTTTGTCATTCAGGCGGCCTAATGTTGAGTGCCTAAGTCGGAGCAAGTTATAGTGATGCAGACTGCTCACGTCTTTATGACAGCTTCATGAATTTTAGTGTTAGACTGTCTTTATCATCATTCAAAAAACTGGTCTAAAATAGTGTTAAGCTCTTGTCAAAAATATATATAATAAAACTGGTTCTACTCGACTATTGTTGCATCCTACAGATTTTTAAAGAAATATAGATTTTCTGCATTCACATTCTCTATTTCAGCAAATGGATCCTGCTAAATTGCGGAATTTCAGAGTTGCCAGAGGCATTAAAAGCATGCTGTTTGCAACTGTTGTGTCTGGTACGCTCACGGGAACCATCCTGTACCTATATATTAAGAAAGAGGTTGAACCTATTAAGAAATTCTACCAGTATTTATCCTTTTTTAACCGTTCATTTTCAGTTCTTACGATCCACAGTTAGAATGGAATACTTTATTGAATTCGGGATTACTAAAAACTGTCAACAAAGATGGAAGCTATGTCGATCTGTCAGACTAAAACTGTGTTATCCTACTGTTTCACTTAGTATGCTCATAGACTTTTGTTTTGAAAGATTGTTTAGTAAATACATGTATTAAGTCTTATTACTGTCAGTTGGTCATATTTAACCTTGGACTTTGGGAAAATCTGCACCTACTCAAGTTGTTAAACTTCACCTTAGCATAATGAGTGAAAAAGTAAACGCTATGGTAGTCAAGAAAGCTGAAATGACCGTAAAAAAAATAACTGTATAGAGTATATTGAAACCTAAAATCTAGGAAAAGTAAAACAAAAATACATTTGAGGTATTGGAAATGATTTCAGTTTTGTCATCATATTCAACCGATAATAATGGTTATCTCACAGACGAAGGAAGAAAGACCGCACTTCTTTACAGGTACTTAGTCAATTCCTTTATGGCCATATACCATTGTCATGATATGCAACCTAATTTTACGATAGTTTACTAATTCACTAGGTACATACAGGTAGTTATCGTTGTTATTGAGGCATTCTATGACTCACAAAGTAGCCATTTCGATACTATGAAGCGCGATGACTGCAAAATACTTGAATGGAGTAGCAGGCTGTTGCCGATTCGGAACTTTCAATCGGAAAATTTGCGACAACTTTTATACTCCTGAGGACACTAATTTCCGCATAAAATTCAACCAGAAATTCTAGAAAGACCCAGAAATCGGATATATGGTGATTGATCAATTAGAAGGGCTCTAGTATACGTTACGGATCATATTTAAATTCTCGGATTACAAACTGGTTCGTGTTACCTAATGAGCGATGAGTCTGCTGAGATTTGTTAATTTAGAAGTTTCAACTGTACAAACTATTTAATATGCTAAAACTCGCAAGCTGACTACTGGTTTTCTTTTCACCTTGGTGGAAATATTCAGTTATTACTACACTTACGTGAAACTAATAACTAGTGTTGCAGGATTTTAGAATCCATTTCATCGTAAAGTGTATGGGATTGTCGGTTTCTACATGTGAACCAATCGAACCCAGCTAAATAAACTCATAGAACTGGTGCTACAGCAACAAAAATTCGTTTAGGTCTAACGTTTGACTGTCAAATGTTGCAGTATAGATCTAATAAAACATTTGTTTGTAGCCACTTGTGATGGATGACGTTCGAGTAATTGAATGAACTCATTAACAGCTATCGGGTTACACTTTGTAGAGAATTGATTGAGTATTACGAGGTTTGTACCTTAAAGAACAGCGATAAGAATGTGGTGTACCGATAGTCATGTAGACATGTACATTATTTCCACTTAGCAACTGCATTTCCTTGAAGTATTAAATATCACTTTTAGAAACATTTTTATTTGAAGACGCAAATGTGTTTCTACCTTTTTGAGAGTGCAACCAGACATAAAGTAGCAACCATGATATGGAACTAATTTGTTATTATAAAGCATACTGTAGTGCCCTGACCATAGCTACTACCTTAATGTGGTGATCGGGCTTGCCTATCGTGATGACCCAAACGAGTTATATTGTCAGGAACATATGTTCCTGAAGGTTCTACCATGCCAGGCAGGTCGATTGGAGAACGATGAGACTAAAAGCAGCAATTTAAGGTCTGAGGGCGAAGTCGTACTGCTGACTGTAGACGGACAGACAGATACAACGCAGGACTTCGTACATCAGTTCAGCTTGCCATACCACATCAGCACAGAGACGCAACTGTAAGTGCAAATCCAAGAGTGATAGCGATAGTAAATTAATTAGCAGTAATGTAGAAGATTAGGGAGCGAAGATAGGATTCGAAAAGTATAATTCAGTGAGATAAATTTAGAAGGAGAAAGATAGAGATTATGAAGAATTCGGAAGGTTAGAATTAGAGCAAACACAAAGAGTGGATGCACCTGCGCCATTGCAAACGATTTTGAGCCATGTCATTCAAGGTCTCTAACCATTGGTGACTTTCGTCTCGCGGACCCCTCCAGGTAGCCTACATCTACCAATATGACTCAGTCCACTTGTCAGTGACTTCATGCCTTTGTGCGATGTTTTGATTAGCCGCCCATAGCTTCCTTCCAATCTACTCTTACACCGCAAAACATAGCTCGTCGACGCAGTCGGTGGTTAGGCATACGTAACACTACGAAAAGCACCCAACTGCGTCACTAGACAAGCCCTCACATGGAACCCTCAAGGCAAAAGGAAAAGAGGAAGGCCAAGGAACACACTACGCCGAGAAATAGAGAAAGATATGAGAGGAATGAACAAACATTGGACAGAACTGGAGAGGGAAGCCCAGGACAGAGTTGGTTGGAGAAAACTGGCGGGCGGCCTATGCTCCATTGGGGGTAACAGGCGTAAGTAAGTAAGTAACACATGTCCCAACCACCTCGACTGATCAAGTTTCACTACTTCATCTATTGATTTGCCATCCTTACCTAGCACCCGTTTCCTAACCACAGCATTGCTTATACGGTTGTCCTATGATACACAAGCACTGCTTCGGGGCACCTATGATCGAAGACTAGTAACCTACGGAAGTCTACTCTTAACGGCCAAGTCTCGCATCCGTACAATAGGACGGAGCGAACTGCTGCACGGTACACTCGTCCTTTAGTCAGCAAACGGATATCTCGCCTGCGCCATAGGTGATGTAGGTTGAAAAAAGCCAATCGAGCCTTCTGTATCCGAGCTGAGACTTCGTCAGTCACCAGGCCATCGGCACTGATGAGACTCCCAAGATAAGTGAAGCGGTCTACACGTTCGTCTACTTCACTCCCTATCACTAGTTCAGGTGCCGATGCAACACAGTCTTGGAGCAGCATTTTGCATTTCGAGGGGGAAAACCGCATCCCGAACATGCTTGCATTGTTGCTTAGGGTAGTCAGAAGACTCTGCATTATTTCAGCATCTTCACCAAGTAGGACAATGTCATCGGCATATTCTAAGTCGATAAGCGAGCCTCCTGGTAGAAGGTCTACTCCAGAAAATTCAGACGAGGATAATGTTATATCTAGGAGCATGTCTATGATAAAATTAAACAAGAATGGAGAAAGTGGACATCCCTGACGGACACCATTTGCAGTAAAGAATTCAGATGACAGTTCGCCATAAGCTCTCACTCGACCAGTGGTGTTCGAGTAGAGAGCTTGTATGAGGTTAATGTACTTCTTTGGTACACCTTTTAATGACAGACTGCCACAGAACCTCAAGATCCACTGAGTCAAATGCCGCCTTAAGGTCTAGGAAAACAACTATTGTAGGACGCCTAAATGTGTGTCTATGTTCCAGGACCTGTCTGAGTGTGAAGACGTGGTCTATACAGCCGCGTCCAAGTCGAAAACCAAACTGGATTTCTCGAGTCTGCTCTTCACGAGCTTTCGTTAAGCGTCGAAGTATTATTGAGGCCAGTATTTTAGATACTATATTAGTTAGACTTATTTCCCTGTGATTGTCACAAGAAGACTTTTGTCCTTTCTTATAGATTGGGACAATCAAGGATTGAGACCAGTCGGATGGGATTGCGTCCAGTTCCCAGATCCTACCTAAGATCTCAGTCAACCTAGCTGCTAAAACTGGACCACCATCCTTAAATATCTCAGGGGTTAGTCTATCAGGACCTGCAGCTCGTCCTAGTTTCAGATTTCCTAACGCTTTCTCAACGTCATTAAGACTAGGGGGACTTACGTCGATTTGCCATTCAGGATGACTGGAGATCGTGGGTAACCGAAGAGTGGCTCGTGGCCAGTTGAACTGATCCCTAAAGTGTTCTGTCCATCGATCCAGTCTCCTGGATTGAGAATGGATAATAAGACCATCCTTTTCCGAGATAGTCTCACTCACATTCGGGTTCTTAATACCAGTTTCTTTAATAAGGCGGAAAAGTTGGCTACTGTTGCCTATCGCCGCTGCCTTTTCCATCGCTTTTGCTTTCGCCACCCACCACTGTTCGCGGTCGTTACGCAGACTTTATATAAGTCTGCGCCTAAGCTGACTACGCTTTTCATCATGCTCAGAGTCAGGTGGGATGCGTTTTCGAGCATCCATCAGTTCGGTAGATGCGACTGAAATACACGGCTTCATCCTAGCCTCATGGTTTACCTGTTTCCACAGCCTTTTTGATATCATACCAACCTGCTTCTGGATGGGAATCGCTTGCAGGGTTGCTTAACTCTGTTTCTAGTTGCTCCTGAAATATTTTCTTGGTTTGATTATCATTAAGTAAAACCCTAAGAGGCTTGCTTACGGTGTCTTTCCTACGTCCAGTAAGCCTTAAGCAGATACGAGCTCGCACTAGAGCATGATCTGAATCCAAACATGTGCCCCAGAGCGAGCGGCAGTCCTCTATCGAACCCCTCCATCGGTGGCTGATGGCGATGTGATCTAGTTGGGTCTAACGTTGAGACGACTTCGCGGGTCGCCAGGTCGAAAGGTGCTTTTCTTTATGCCTAAAGTTAGTGTTTGTTAAGAATAGGCGGTTATCTGAGCAAACTTACAACAGACGGTCGCCATTGTCTGTTCTCTCAGTCGCTACACCATAACATCCACCTAGATGTCTTTCCTTTTCACCTAGTCTACCTACTTGAGCATTAAAGTCACCAGCCATTATTACTATATCAGAGCGCCTAGCTTTTTGGAGGAGGTCCGAAAGCTTTCTGTAAAACTCATCTTTAACCTCGTCTGCACTGCAGTCAGTGGGGGCGTAGGCAGATATGACGAAGAGGCAACGGCGAGTGTCCCTATCCTTCCGAGTCCTTACTGTCCCGTTTAGTCGGACAGCGCACAAACGACTATCTACTGGGATCCAGTCTAGGAGAGATAATTCTGCCCCAGGACTCAACGCTATGCCTACGCCAGCAAGACCCCTGGAAGCAGCATCAGGGCTACCGGATACACGAAGAGTAAATGGAGCTGCTTCTTCATTTTGACAAGGTGGAATCAGGTTTATTACTTTACTAGGATCCTGTATGCGCGTTTCCGAGACGCAGCATACATCGATGGCACGAGTTTCTAAAGTCCTAGCTTATGATGCCTGTTGCCCTATTTGACACAATGTCCGTACATTAAAAGCTCCAACATGTAGTCTAGAACGGGGTTTCAAGAGACCAGGAAC